AAGAGTTTGTTTGGAGCACTTATTGAGGTATTCTTGCATCCTGGCACAAAACACCACTTATTTTGTGATCCATACATGTCACTATTTTCCATTATACAAGATAATAATAATAATCAATAAAATAATGATAATCACAATAACTTAAATAATAAAACAAAGCTGCGAAGACAAAAAAAATAAACACGAGACACTTTGTTGACATGATCTGCTACGTCACAATCGGGATATGCAACCGATGATACGGATTCGGCGTTGTTGGCGGAAAATATCTGATTTGAATTTAAATTCGCTTTAAAATTATTATGTAGACTTTTTTGCCAAAAAAATTATATCTGTGTAATGTTGTGTGGAAAAAAGTGAAAACACCCTATTTGCAGCTTCCGACCTTCAGGCCGTTTTAATAGCAGTCCAATAGTGATGCAGTGACAGTTACAAACGTGTTTTTGCACCAAATTTCAACGCTTTAAAATTTAAAAGTTATGTAAATTGTATTGTAATGTAAGATACAGCGAGACGAAAAAAAGCTAAACAAAGCAAATAATCCGAGGAAAGTTGACAAGAATTGATTGTGGGTAAAAGAGCAAATACGAATAAATTTAATCAGGCTGAAAAAAGTTTGTGGAAAACTTTGCAACAAAGAAGTAGACCCAATAAAGAAAAGTTGCAATAAAGGTATGAAAATAACCGGTTTGTAAAAAGCTAAACTACACAACTTATTCTATTTTGACTCGACTGCCGAATTTAAAAAAATAATAACCTGAAAGATTCTTACACCTCATTGGCGTCCGGGCTGAACAAAAAAAAAACGAAAATTGGCTTAATTATAAACAAAGAAAAGGCTGCAATGAAAAACTGCAAAGCAAGCAAAATTCGCGACAGCCCAAGTCCAGGAACAGGAATTTAGTGAACAGTAAAAGAAGCAAGAGGAGAATGTTAGTGTAAATGTTTCAAGGAAAAAATGGTCTATCTCTAGCATAAATATGTAAAGGTTGTTTTCAGCAGCGAAAAGCTAAACAAAAAGATCGGTTTTTGTCTCAAAGTGGCCGCCTATAAGTTTCCCAGCGTTGTGTTTACACAGTTCCATATATCATTCGGAATCGAGATTGATTGCAAGTGGTTTTACAGCATAAACATTATTTGATAAATCCAAACAAAATCCCACAGCGCTTTGTATGTTTTGCCGAAACATGTGTTCGATAGCATTGATAAATACCAAAAGCCTAAGAGAGTTATTGTTATAGTTGCAACTCCCAATAAAATCCCATTGAACCAGCGAATGTGAGCGCACAAAGCCAATCTGGAAACCGTCTTGGACTGTTCGGATCGGGGATATTTTTGTTAAAGGGGATTCTAAATAAGTCCGAGGAAGTTTCAGGATTGAATTTCAGACCTGTCATTCGATTCATTTTCAACATTCATTCAACTTACTACTGGTTACTATTAGCGATCGTCGATTTTTCTAATGCCCGCTTTGTTTTCTTTAGCGGCGCTTACTGTTCTAAAGTATGTTGACGAGGTAATCGGAGATGTCGGTTTAACATGACAGATGACAAGCTTGCTTGACGTGGTAATGCGTTAGATTGTGGGTGGCCAGGATAGATGATTAATGATTGGTCCAACAACACGAGTAAATCGTTCCATAGAATCATTTGCTTATTGCCAAACTCTTTAATTGGCTTCAGCCTACATCACTTCCTGTTATTCATTCACAGCTTCACGTGAGTACAAAAAAATCGTCTATCCACCTTGAAAATAGCAGGAAT